TCCTATTCACACACTCAGGCTCTTGATAACCTGTTTACTTGCAACTGCCACACTTCACTCTCCAGTGCCTTTGCTCACTTCTCTCTCTGTCCCCACTGTCCACAGCCCTACTCGGAAAGCACACGCCCACACCAGCCCCTACACAGAGTATGCTCTCCCCCTCCTTCAAATCTCCACTGCACTTTATAGAATCAGGCATTACACGTACACTGGAGCGATACTGGCTTGATGTTGGTGGAATAAATACTGCCCAAGCCAAAAGCAAACCCCTGGTTGCTGAGATGATTCCAACTCATATCAACCTTATAGGACAGAGTAGAACTGTCCCACAGGGTCTCCAAGGCTGAAGTTGTTGTGGAAGCAAATACTGCCAAACGAGTAACAAATCCTATTTCAGGCCAATCCACATACAGTTCACTCATGGCATCTCTGCCACTGGCCTCCACTGTCACAGGCCCTGCGCTGGTGTTAGGTGCCGTCGAGCCGGTTCCAACTTGCAGTGACCCTGTGCACCATGGAACGAAACACCGCCCAGGCGTCGCTGTTTGAGCCCACTGCTGCAGACACTGTGTCAACCCATCTCCCTGAAGGGCTTCCTCTTTTTTGCTAACACTCTACTTGACTACACATATGTCCTTCGCCAGGGACTGGTCCCTGCTGATAACATGTCCAACGTATGTGAGATACATTTTCGTCATCCTCGCTTCTAAGAAGCATTCTAGTTGTCCTTCCTTCAAGATAGATTTGTTCGTTCTTCTGGCGAATCCATGGTATATTCAATATTCTTCACCAACACCGTAATTCAAGGCGTCCATTCTTTCTTATGGCTTTCTTTTTTTGTCCAGCTTTCGTGCATGTATGAGGCAACTGAAAATACCATGGCTTGGGTAAGGTGTAAATAAAACACTAACTCTCCCAGGATAACACTAAAGTTTTTGCTTTCTGAAATTAGAGGGTCCAAACTTCAAATCTTACAGGTAAGTATTCTAAGACGTCCCCCACAAGTTAAATGCAAGAACTACTATGTTTCATTATTTTTTTTAATCATCAAATGTTAAATTTCAAAATGCTGTCGGAACCTTTTCAAATGCCTAATCAAAACATTTTCTATACAATCCTTCTCAATGTATTGCCAAAATATGTCATGAAACCCATAGGCTGAAATAACTCTAAATTTAATAGAATAAAGAATAGCTTTACTTGGGTCAAACGCCTCTAGCTTAAGCAAAACTAAATAATTTCAATTTTGTATTAATAAGTTATCATCCCTACAGCAATATTTGTCATGTGAGTACTTTAGATAGTCTTTTAAAATTTTTCTCCAGAAGAACGTGATGGTGCCTGGCTACCATTGCCAACCACTCAGAAAGGGATCAAAATTGGAGATTCTGGATAGAGTGGGAGAAAAATGTGGAAAAAATACCAAAATTGTAAAAAAGATGGGGCTCACTGGTCTGATAGAGACTGTAGAAACCCCCAAGACTATGGCCCCTAGTCACCTCAGGGCTGGAACTAAACTCACTGCCAAGGTTTAACTTTCAGCCAAACAACAGACAGGCCTAGGAGGCAAACAATTATACCAGGTAGATACAGTCCTCAGAAAAATCAACCATGGGAGGGGGTCAGAGGGCAGCATTTGCACAGAGAAAAAGCTCAGAGGGCAGGAAGGCATAGAAAGGACTGGGGGTTTAAAACCAGAGGGAGGAAGTGGGAAGAGAGCCACAGTGGGGACTTGAATGGGAAACGAAATTTGCTCTGTAACTTTCACCCAATCACCCAAAATATTCACCCAAATAAACAAAATTTCTCCCCATAAAAAGAAAATACTTCCTCTCCAAATAAACTTTTTAAAATCTATGACTTAAACTAGTAGTGTCAACTACTGTCTCTGTATCAAGTTATAGTTCCTACGAAATACTGAATACATCAATCAGTCATTGCTTACAGTAGCAATTTAACTTAAACCAACACTCTAAAAGATCCCTGGGTAGAGCAAACAGTTAGCTCTCAGCTACTAACCTAAAGGTTGGTGGTTTGAATCCACCTGGTGGTGCCACAGAAGAAAGCCCTGGTAATCTACTTCCCTAAGATTACAGCCATTGAAACCCCTGTGGAGTGTAGCTCTACTCTGAAATATGGAGGGTCACCAGGAATTGGAATCTACTCAAAGGCTACTGGTAATCCAACACTCTAGTCTACAAAAATGGATCAAATTGTTATAAATCACCAATAAAGTGTATTTTTCTTTCAGGTTTGAAAGTACAAGATCAAACTCCATCAACCATATTTCACTTCCTCTTGAGATACCTTGAACCAGTCTTAGAATTTTTTTCCTTCCCAAACATAAGCACATATACACATTTACCTGACAGCCTTCCTCACAATGAGTACAGACAGTAAAACTAATGAAACTAGTCCTTAGCCTGAACAACTCACCTGTCAAGCACTGTTACCCATTCTAGGCAAGTGGACATATTCTGAAAGTTAGTCCACAAACTCTACCCTCCATTTACCAAAATGTTGAGAAATAATGAGCTTCAAAGGCAAAACAACCAGGAAGCTAATACCCATCCAACGAAGAAAGAAAAATGCCTGGCAAGCAATGTGATAGCAGCTCAAAACACGGGCAACTCAGCCATTTAGGACTGGTCAAACTGTCGAAATCTAATTAGATCTTTAGTTAACGAAAACCAAAATATTTAGGTGTCATGGCACCCACTGCAGGTTTATCAAAATTTCATCTATAACAAGTTCTCACCCAAGGGTGATCGTTCATCTAACCAGGCTTTGACGGGCACCTGCTTTGTACCAGACTAGGAGCCACAGGGGAGAAGAGATCAATACCTAACCTTAAGGAGCCCCTAATTTTATAAAGTGATAGGACAAGCATACACAAGGGAGGCTACAAGTGCCATTAGCAGAAGGGCAAAAATAAAATGTCATGAATGCATCATAAATACACAGGTATTTTTTTCAAAAAGGAAAGGTGACCACAAACTATCAGCACATGCACAGCCATCAATCCTAAAGATGTGTTAGGCCTTCAAACAGGACTTAAAGTTAGCTAAAGCCCAACTAAAATGCCTCAGCTCCGGTCTAACGTGAAAAAACTTCCTCCAATAGCGTAATTCCGTTTCTGTGGTTCCTTGGATTCTAGAAAGTGGACCAAGAGGTGATTTCTTAAGGGCTATTACTATAAAAGACATACTAAAATCAAGCCGGCAAGCAACAGCCCCTTCCACGTATAAACGCCAAATACTTAACACTTCATCCTCACTTTCGCTCTCCTGCTGTCTGCAACTCCGTAAAACAGGCGTATTCTCACCGTCAGGCAAAAGAAACATCGTCTGCATCGGACGTTAGGATAACCAAAATGGGTTTATGTCTGGCGTCATAATCCTCCAATCAGTACTTAAGCATTTATAAAAAATGGAAATATTCAAATCTAACCACTGCTATAACCCTCTTTTTAAAAACAAGTGACGAAAAACCAAAGCCCAGTGCCTTTGACTCAATTCCGACTCATAGCGACCCCCGTTGGGTTTCCGAGGCCGTCAATCTTTACGGAAGTAGATTGCCCGCTCTTCCTTCTGCGGACTGACTGCTGAGCCTGAACCGCCAACCTTCTGGTTAGTTAGGCACTGCGCCACCAGCGCTCCTTAAACAAGTGACAAGCACACCTTAATTACTCTTCTAAGATTCTCAGATTTCCTCATAAACTTTGCTTTGTAAACGCTCTTAAAACCAGATTCTAATTCAGAATTAGATGTTACCCAGATGAACAAAATTATAAAGAACAAGTTTGGGAGTTTTTTGCTACAAAATATGTCAGCTCCCCCCCCCCCTTTTACAATGTAGTAAACTGCAACCACGTTATTTAATACAAAGCAGCAATTGTGCTGTCTTTTTGCGTTTTTGAACAAAATATATTTCAGCACCAGTCTAGAGAAACTTTCTGTGAAAAGCGAGGCAAGAGTCAGCAGGGAATTCACTATGATCCTGGGCAGACTTTTAGCCCCAGAAATTGGGGGGAGGGGGAGTCATTCTGTTATAAACGGCCCCTCAGCCCCAGTATTTCTGTTCTGTGACACAGAAGTTGGCCCAAAAGGTCATTTTCAGCAATTACGTCTGGATGATCAACTGCACGTCTGCAACAGGTGACAACGACACTGCCTTTCCCAAGCAAGGCAATCGCGAGCAAATTAGTTAGACGCCTGTTCCTGCGGTTTTTCACTTTTATTTTGGATTTTACCGAAATGATTTTAAATCGATGAATTCCCAAATTTGCTTTGGTTTTATCTGGGTTTCTGCTTTGCTTCTGAATCAGCCATTTACCAGCAACTGTTGCACGAGCCCATTAATACCCGAGTAATAAAAACAAACACACAGGACCAGGTAAGGCTTCCCCTACTAACGTAACTGTCTATTTCCTTAACACAATTTTAAAACCACACAGCTGGGGGTGTGATGGGAAGCAAGTGTTGTTTGTGTGTATGTGTGCGTCTGCCACAATCTGCCTAAATCCTTAATCCCCTTTTAAGGAGCAGATAGATACTAAAAATCTAAAAGAAACCACATTAGAAATGCAAAGAGGTTTGCGAAAACAAGGTTTCTTTCATTCCAAAAAGCCAACCAAAACAAGGGGACAAAAATTAATGCAATGGATGTGTGTGCCAAAGTTTCAATCCTGCCCGGTGGACACACTACACTGGCACAAATTTTGAAGAGAAAAAAAGGGGGGGGGGAGAGAAAGAGAGCGAGCGAGAGTGTGGCCTGCAAAGTGCAACAATGCAATCTCCATTTTGAACAATGCGCCTCTTTCCTCTTGTAAATCGAGTTTTTTTGCCACTTGATGAGCCGTCTCATTTCCCCTCGGTTTGGGGGGGCGGTGGGGGTGGAGGGAGGCCGGAGCAGGATGCACAGCACACAAGAGGGAGTGAGCAAGGGGGGAGGGTAAGGAGGTGGGGAAGGCGTCTGCAGCAACTGGGCTGGGTGGGTACCTGGCGTGCTGCTGTAGGTGCTATGGCTCCTGAAGCTGCTTTCCGTGCAGTAACTGGCGTCGTCGTCGTCGTCTTCCATCTCCTCCGGATAATCGGAGTCATCGTCGTCCTCCTCCATCTCATCTTCCTCGTCGTCCTCGGAATCCTGGGTCTCCTCGGCGTCGCCATCCTCCTCCTCCTCCTCGGAGACCATGTCTTCCTCCTCCTCCTCC